GATAAAAGATAATGGGACCAATAGGACATAGACCTGTATTGTTTAGTTATTTTGAGATATGCTGTTTATTGTTTTAGCACAGAATATTACTAGGAATTTACTATTGGAGTCATATTTCTACTTCTCTAAATTCCTTTTTAGAACATACAGAATAAGTTGTTAGATTTTATTACTTCTACGGAATTATATTGTATATAGTTATGCTGAATCCTCCTTAGTAACAATATTGAAATTAATATTGTACCTTTGGTCTTTTATTTATTCCATAGCTTTTAATCATCTATTTATCTTTCTATTTTATATATATGCGAAATAGTTTCATATGGAAATTTATAGTTAGTATTATTTATGCCAGTGAATATCTAAAATAAAACAAGTGAACATCTACTGGAAAAAACAGGAAACAGATATGTAAAAACAATGTTTAGTTTTCACAATATCTTAGATTATTAATTTTAAGACATAATGCATCGTATTTAATGTTTCTGTTCATGCTTTTATGCTTTTTATCAACTTTTATCTGAGCTACCTGAAGTCTTGGCAACTTTGGTAGGCTATACATTTTAATAAATGAAACCTATCTCATTTCTTCATTTCCCCCTTATAATTCAGGCTGATCTTTTTCCCTGTGGGGAGTTTACCTCTCCCCCTTAGAAACATCCATTTAGTTTTTATTTATAGATTAGATTTTTATCCCACCTTTATTATTTTATATGTAATTCAAGGCAGCAAATACTATAGTGTTTTTAGGGGAGATTTCTACAAAAAGGGGGGATTCAGTCCTACAATGTCCCTTATTGATAAAGAAAAAGGGGACAGCTTTTATTTTATTTTCAAATTTTTTTAAAAGATTAAAATTAAGTTATGTCCTCTCCACCTCCCACTTTGGGATCTGGCTCCACTCAGTTTTGGAGTGACGTGCAGTGTGAAGCTAGTGTGGTCCTTAAGTTAGTGAAAGTTGCCATCTAAAGTTATAATACATTTGGGGCATTGAATATGTATTTGTGTGCTTAAAATAGCTTTTTGCTTTGACTATTATGTGTTATGGTTGGATATGTATTCTGACATGGCTATCTTGCCTAGTGTGAAATGCTGGTGAACCTTGTCAGAATAGGCCCTGAAGATGCAAAGTGATGATAAAATTTAATAACATATTTAAAATGCTGTAGCATTGTTACAAAAACCTGAAAAAGTCTTTGTCATGTCTAAACAGTAGGAGTATGCTTTCATCTGCTAAAAAAATAACAACAAAAACCATATTGTTTTGCATTAGATTCGTGAAAAGCTGAAGAGCAAAAAAGAATCTATGGAAAAGTCTGAAAAGGCCAAACAACTCCGTGCCCTAAGAAAATACGGCAAACAGGTACACTTGCAGTTGGATGACAAAAATCTTTTCAATTCATTCAAACTGTTTTGCTTGGAAGATTTTCAGTCAAGAGACAGAATTCCTCAGAAGCTATATGAGAACCATATATATCTGCAAATCCATAAAATTGGAAAATTTTGGAAAAGGTCAGGTACAAGGGAGAGCAAGGCTCATGTTTGATTTTCTTGTTGATAGATTCAAATTGACGTGTTGCAGAAGAGACAGAAAGAGAAGTCCACAATGTTGAATGCAGTCAAAAAATATCAGAAGGGTGAGTCACTTCCTTCCCACCTCTCAATTTTAGAAAAAGAGTAAGAAGCTGTGATAACAAGAAAACATGAGTTTCAGCATCAGCTGCTTAATAAAGGCTTGTTGTGCCAGTAAATAGTCTGCTATGGCTGAATCATCGAACCAACTATATGTTGGTAACAGTTTTATATTTACAACTGGACAATCAGTACCTATGTTAACTGATAAGGGATCCTCCATTAAATGTCAGCTATGGTCACTTGCTTCTGTTCATAGTTTTTCTGCAGACTTCTGATTTTCTGCAGACTTTCTCCTTTTGCCTACTTTTCTCCATTCTATTAATTCACTACAAAAAAAAGAAAAAGTAGAATGTGGATTGTAGCCACCGACAGATTTCAGTGGCTCTGTAAGCCTTGTTTAATAGCTGCATCAGTCAGCTGACCTTTTCATATAGACAGCTGAAATAAAGAAAATTTGAGGACAGAAGAGTGGCTATTTTGTGAATAATTGGCTTATGAACTTAAAACAAACTACCAGTTTCAGAGATGCTCACCTCAAAATACTGTCTGATCCATTTTCTGGTTGATAGATTTGGGAATCTAGTAAGATCACTGTAAATTTAACAAGCTCAATGTTATGTCATTTGGTAGTCAGTGATTGGATGTATTTGGGACTTTCTAAAAAGTAAATGCTTCTTTATGTTAAGATAACCATAGAATAACTTTCTTTAAATTTGGTTTGATATGCATAAAATATTATAGAACTTTGGGATCCAAGGGTTAAGAGCGCCAGAAGGCTGTAGCCACTTATTCCTTTTTTCATGTAAGGTCTCTTGGACAAGCTGGAATTCCTGGAAGGTGAAAAATCATCTGAACCTCAGAAGAAGAAGGAAGGAACAGAGAGACAGCCAATAAAGAAGGGGTAAGAATGAAGTGCATCTTTGTTCTGAATATGAGTCTTTTGTAATAAAATGGAATGGAATAGAATAAAATAGAAGATTTGGAAGGGATCTTGGATGTCATGTAGTCCAACTCCCTACATGAGCAGGGGAGTCTATACCAGGGGTCTTCATGGTTGAAGACCTCTGGTCTATACCATTTCAGACAAGTGGCTGTCCACACAACCAAGAGCAAAGGTTGATCCACGAAGAAAGGTTATCATAATTTCTGTGGTGCAATTTCTTTATTTGGGGGACTGTCAGTGATTGTATGCACTCTCTATCATTTTCAAGACTTTTAAAAAGTGTCTTTTAGAAGCCTTAATAACTGAACGAAATAAAGGAGTGAGCATCATGTATAAAATCATCTAAAAGGAGTTACTGTATTTTTTGGACTATAAGACGCTCCGGACTATTTTTGGGGAGGAAAACAAGAAAAAAAAAATCTGCCTCTGCCTTCCCAGCAATTTGCCTCCTTGCAGCAAACAGTCTGATCAGCTTCAGCACAGCCTGGTTTAGCACAAGTAGCTGATTTGCGGTTGGATCTGCCTCTCAGAATACCACCTATCAGCTGTTCCAGGCTGTGGGGATTGCCACCGTCACCTCCATGCGCTCCATTTTCAGCCTCTGTGTTTCCCATTTTTGGCCTCTGTGCACCCCATTTTCGACCCGTTCCAGGCGGCGGGGATTGGTGGAGCAGCGGTAATCCCCGCTACTTGAAACAGGCTGAAAATGGGGCGTGCGGAGGCAGCAATAGGCAGCAGCGGTGGTGATCCCTGCAGCCTGAAACAGCTGATAGGCGGGATTCTGGGAGGCAGATCCAACCGCCAATCAGCTGCTCGTGCTAAATTAGGCTATGCTGAAACTGACCATGCTGTTTGCTGCTTGCTGCAAGGAAGCAAATTGCTGGGAGGCAGAGGCCAAAGGCTGGGGGCCGGTGGGTGGGTGGAGCTTCGGCAACATTTGCTGTATAAGACAGACATTTCCACCCACTTTTGGGGTGGGGGGTGGAGTGCGTCTTATACACCGAAAAATACGGAATATCATAAATATGAACATTTAAAACCTGCATTTCCAAAATGCAAAAACTGTCTTATAAAACAGAACTAACTATGTTGTGACTTGTACATATGGAGAAAATTTAAATCAGGTGCTGACATCTAGCATTTAGAAAATGATCTTGAATAGAGATTGAATAGTCTTTTTGCTAGATTAAGAGGAATGTTTACTGAAACCGAGTCTGGCAGAAAGTGTAATATTTGGCTATTTTGAAGAAACAGAACATGTATGGGCCAAAGTTTCTTTTTTTTTTTAATTTGTAGGAACAAATACCTAGTTGTGACTGACATATTGTCTTTTCTTTCAGACCAAATGCAAAAAGACGCTACAAGAATCAGAAATTTGGCTTTGGTGGCAGAAAGAAAGGGTCCAAATGGAACACCAAGGAAAGCTACAATGATGTGTCCAGCTTCCGTGCTAGCAAAGCCCACAAGAAGGGAAGTGGAAAAGCAGGAAAAAAGGGTGCCAAAGTAAGTTACAGTTGGGTTATTACATGCTACAATTGGATCACTAGAGGAGCAAGTGTGATTATTCTGGTAAGACTAGTGAATTCTATATTTTTTTCCCTCTCTTTTCAGAAGAGGCCTGGCAAAAAGATGAGGCAGAAAATTAAGAGCCGTTCGTGATCAGGATTGGAAATGGAATGACATTTTGAGCCCAGCTCCATACACAATATTGGCATATAACCATGAACAGATATGGAACGTGAGCCTCCCTGGTTATGGGTGTGCATGGCAGATGTTTCTGTTTGATCCTGAGCATAATACTATTCACACACAAATGACAAATAGATGCTTTTTGTTGCCTTTCCTTTCAGACTAGTTTGAAAATTCCTTAAGTGAATTAAAAAGTATTGATGGTTTCATCCTCCTTCTTCAAGGTTTGGAAAGATGCATACTGGAATAATTGGGGAGGATATCAAAGTCTTCCAATTCTTTGCCTATCATGCAAAAGCAATGTAGGGCCTGCAAGTATGGCAGTAGCGCCCATGTTTGACCTCTTCATTACTTCCTTCACATAATGGCACTCGATTGCTCCCACCCTTTGAGTATCATTTATATTTTTTTATTATTCATATTTCTATGCCGCCCACTCTCCAAGGACTCTGGGCGGCTTACACCAAAGACAGTATACTAAATAGCATATTGCTCCCAACAATCTGGGTCCTCATTTTACCCACCTCGGAAGGATGGAAGGCTGAGTCAACCTTGAGCCGGTGAGATTTGAACTAGCAGTCAGCTAAAGTAGCTGCAGTACTGCACCCTAACCACTGCGCCATCTCATGAATTGTGCATTGATCACTCATGCATATAAGTACTCGGAGAGATGGCGTAGTTATGGATGAGAAATTCATTGCCTAGGTATCTTACGAAACACACACACACACAATTTGGGAACAAGTTTATTGCAACCGCTAAAAGTTCAAAGAGCAAGACAGCTTCCTTTGTTAAAATAACCAATTACAATGACAAGATGATAATCTTGCAGGGCAGAAATCCTAAATGAAAGTTTAACATCTTTACAGTAAGATCCCGCGATGTTACTATGCCCTTATTTACTTTTGGTCATCTGCTTCAGGCGCCAGAGAGCAGCCATGTACCTGCTGATTTCAGTGCTCCGACTTGGGAAGTGCAGCCTAGTATCGTTCCGGTTGATACTGATCTGTGAAAGAGAATATGATTATAACAGAAGAGCATTGAAATAAAAGAAGGAACAAAGTGTTGGATGCTTCAATATAACTTCCTCTCATCTGATAACCCATTTGATGCTACATGAACCCTTTGAAGGCTTTCCTCATGATTCTAATGTTTCAAAATGGTATCGTTTACTTACCAACGGTGTGGAAAACCAACCAATTTCCTGACTTTCACATTGTGGTTCTGTGTATTTCTTGGGTGGCTCAAGTGCAGCATGATGAATAAGCTTTAGGAATTTAGCTGTTGAGTTAAAGCATTGACAGTAATTATTAGGTAGTTTCAATTAGGTGGGTTGAAATAGTAGATGTGTGGAACTAGGTTACTTAGTTATATAAATAGTGAATTTTACTTAGAGTTATGTAAATGGTGTGTTCTATTGAACATTTAATGGTATTTTGGTTTGTATATCTTTTACAGATCTGTATCCAGTATTAGGTATTTTTTTAACTTTGGAATACCGTATACAGTATGCTATTCAAGAAATACTGTCACAAGATGACTGACATAAAATAGAACACCAACCGCATAAAATTTTAGTTTATTAAATTGCTTTAATTGTTCTTTCTGGGAAAAAGCTAAGCAGTTTTGGCAGGCGTTTATATCTTGTATGTTTAATGAAGCAAAAATGCAAGACATACATTCCTTTTGACATAATACTTCAGTGTGAAACTGCATTTAACCTTTCCCTGTTTTTAATGCAAAATTGTAGTTCATGAATAATTTCTATCCAATAACATGCTCATATTTTTGTGTCATGGATTCTCATTCTGATCTAGATTTTGTCCTGAAAATTGATTTTGCTTGGCATCTGGTTCCCTTCCAATTCCAAGAAATCTTCTATCCTGCTATTAAGTTTTAAACAATACTTTGTATAATTTATAGACATACAAAATATTGCAGAAGATACTTTTTTGAAAATATGGGAGACAAAAAAAAGTTCCGCACTTGATCTTGGCCAAGAAGCAACTCTTACACCCATCTAAGGTGCTCACTTTTCGTTTTAGAGTACTTTTAGATTTGTGTTTGTGTTTTGTTTCACATTCTGATGAGAGAGACGTTCCCTGAGGATGGGCTCCAGCACGAGGCCAACAGCTTTGAAGACTAAACCTCTGGTCCCAGTGACCGACCCAGAGTGGATCCTGCAAAGTAGATTTAGTTATATTTCCTCTTTCCCCCCCTCTTACCTCATTCCCTAATTTCTTTGCAGAATTTTACACAATGTTTAGTTAACCCAAAAGGGAATAATATGATTGAGATAGGCTTGTGTGAATAAAAGAGCTGAAGCCAAATTTTATGGCACCATTTTAAAGACAGGACATGTAAGCACTTTTTTGAACTTTTAAGAAAACAAAGGCAGTACCATTAGTAATAGGTGCCTTGGGTGCAATCCTAAAACAACGAGCACCATCGGCATTGACAAATTCACCATAAATCAATTGAAAAACAGCTTTACTTGAACAACTTACATCTTGTGACAATGTCTGTAATATCACCAAACATCCACACTGCCTATCCCAGGTCCTTGGAAAGGGCTTAATAGGTGGACAAAAATGCCACATCCAATCTGAACATCTGGCTAACTACGATGAACCATAATAAAATTAAGACATCCTAGGTGCTTGCGAAAAACTGCATATGAAAGTTAAAGGACTGGCAGCTGTGACTTCACAGTTTTGTGAACGGATAGTAATACTGATACCAGTCTAAACATCTGGCTCACTTGCAACCAACCATAATAATAAAATATCAGTGGCATCCATAACAAACTGCAATTAAAAAAAATGTGTCTTACCATCTTCAGGTTCCTCTAAGTTATCATGCCAAGAGGCAGGTTTCCCAGTTAAGGCATGAACTGGAGATCAAAAGGAAGATTATGAAATTAGCTATTGCTGATCTTCAAATTAAGGCACTCTTAAACTTTGCTTTAGACTACCATAAAAGAATGAGAAAGTTAATATTTTCTCCTTACCTTGCTTTGTTTGGGAACATTTAGTTTGAAATGCTGAGTTTTGCAGAACCAAAAACATGCATAGAGAACCCATGATTTCAGCCAGATCTTTATCATTGTTTCGTCCCACTCCCTTTTCATATCAGTATGGCCTACATCAGGTGTTTATTACATTCAATGGCTAGGATATGTTAAAAAAAGGAAGGGAAAGGGAGCAATACACGTAGTCGAGTTACGACCCAAAATTTATCTTGCCGAGTGAAATATTCATTAAGTGAGCTTTTCCCCATTTTACAATTTTTCTCACCACAGTTGTTAAGTGAACCACTGCCGTTGTTGAGAGTGTCACTCTCGAATTGGCCTTTTTAGTCACACTAGATGCTGTTTTAGGACCTCTTTCCAGACGACGATACCATAGTCTCTTGAGACTGAAGGATGCCAATGCAGTTGTTGGTATTGTGTTTGTTAAGTGACTCTGGTTTCCCTGTTGACTTGTTAGAAGGTCGCAAAAGCTGATCACATGCCCCCAGGACATTGCAAGTGTCATAAACACGAACCACATGCCAGGCACCTGAATTTTGAACATGTGAACGTGGGGAATCCTGCGGCGGTCGTTAAGTGTGAAAAATCACCACAAATCACTTTTTCAGTGCCCTTGTTACTTTGAACGGTCACTAAATGAACCCTTGTAAGTCGAGGACTACCTGTATTTGACAAAACCGCCCACTTACCTTTCATGAGCGGGTTTAACGCGTACTCGGTATGCAGGCGCTGGCATCGCAGCTCTTTCTGGACCGTCTCAGTGAAGATCTTGTTCTGACTGACTGGGTCCAATGGTTCCTTTACGACCCCTTTAATCCCAGCCATGCGGCGTTACTTGGATCACTAGTTCAATCGCTCCAGGATCTCCTCCGATGTTGTCTCCGGCCGGAGCGTATCCAAGGGCGGAGACGGTCGCTTTCTGGTCTCCCAGCTATTGACTTAAGAACGTCTCAAACCGGGAATCCTAACTCCGCCTCTCCTCTTTTCATTGGCTGAAAAATTAAAGCTTCCCAAGTGCTGATTGGTCGTTGCGGCCGGTCGAGAAACATTTGAATCTGCCTGCGTCTCGCAGCTCAAGCAAGGCAACTTTAAACGTGAGGATGTTTTTTTCAAAACCCGGCTCGGTCGACAGCGGGCTAGAGAAGCGTCTGCTCCGCACCCGCCGCAGGCTTTGAGTGGGTCTCGATCTCGCTTTTTGTCATGTTGGTGTGTTTGCTCTCTCGGCTTCACCCCGCAGAATGCAAGACTCGGAGCTGGATGGGAGGATTCGCTGCACGGTGGCAGTGGAGCATCTGGGTGCAGCGGCGGCCCCGAATCGGCTGCTCCTGCGGGATGCCTGGGTCAACCTCGGGCGGAACGAGTTTCGCGAACTGGTCTTACAGGTGACGAAAGCTTCGGGTCCGGACCGCCTCCAGAACTTCCCTTTGCGGCGGAACGAAATGCGCCTGTTCACACGTTTTGTGAAGGACGGGAAGAGCTCGATCCGGTTGGGTCCCTTAGGCTCCAATTATGTGCAGCTGCTGCTCTCGAACTGCCCTCCGGATCGCTTGCGTCGCTTCGTGCAGACTCTGCGCATCAAATTTGAAGCTGCCCAGCACGGAGGGCGGCCGGTGCCTGAGCGGACAAGGCTCCTCTCTAGCTTGCCGCGCACATTCGACACGGTGAGCCCGGTGCAAGTCCGCGATTTGCAACAAGCAAGTGCCCGAGAAGCTCTGGCTAACGTTACAGCCACCCCCACGAAAGGACAGACTCTACCCTGCAGGTCTAGGAAGCGTCCTCTGGAATCAGTGGATGGGAGGCAGGTAAGCTATCTTCTGCCTGAAAAGGTAACTACGGTATTTGCTTATACTGTTAAGCATCAATAGGTAATACTAAGCGCTAAAGAAAAGATGCAGAGAGTCATAGCCTCTCTGATGGTGCTTTCCCCAAATCCAAGAAGGCCCATTGACCATGCTGACTAGAAGATAACATGTTGGGAAGATAGATCTTGCCAATAATTTTATTAAAGCTTACAAAAAAAAAAAGGATAAAAAATAATACAAACTAAAAGGTAAAGGTTCCCCTCGCACATATGTGCTAGTCGTTCCTGACTCTAGGGGGCATTGCTCATCTCCGTTTCAAAGCCGAACAGCCAGCACTGCCCAAAGACATCTCAGTGGTCATGAGGCCGGCATGACTAAATGCCAGAGGTACAGGGAATGCTGTTACCTTTCCACCAAAGGTGGTCCCTATTTTTCTACTTGCATTTTTTAACGTGCTTTCGAACTGCTAAGTCGGCAGAAGCTGGGACAAGGAAGGGGAGCTCACTCCCTTACACAGCACTAGGGATTCGAACCACTGAACTGCCGACCTTTCAATCGACAAGCTCAGCCTCTTAGCCACTGAGCCACCATGTCCCTTCCAATACAAACTAAGAAAAATATAAAGAAGGAAAAGAAGAAAAGTGGAAAGAAAAAAACAGAATATATACATAATATATATACACATGCAGGTAGTCCTCAACTTACAACACTTCATTTAGTGACCATTTAAAGTAACAGTGACACTGAAAAAAGCGACTTGTGACCGTTTTTCACACTTACTACCTTTGTAGCCGCCCCGTGATCATGGGATCAAAATTCAGATGCTTGGCAAAGTGTTCATACTTGTGACCGTTGCCGTGTCCCAAGGTCATGCGATCACCTTTTGCAAACTTTTGGCAAGCAAAATCAATGGGGAAGCCAGATTCACTTACCAACCATATTACTAACTTATCCACTACAGTGATTCACTGTGGCAAGAAAGGTCATAAAATGGCGGCGGGGGGTGGGGAACTCACTTAACCAACGTTTCACTTAACAACAGAAATGTTGGGCTCAGTTGTGATTGTAAGTCGAGGGCTGCCTGTATTCCCACCAGAACTGAACTTGCACTCCCAATTCCTCTTCCCTCGTCAGGAACTTTCTTTCCTTCCCTTTTTTGGCAAAGAGATAAAAGTGTAAACCTTTAATGGCAGTCACTGTAATAACCAGTTCTGATTTCCTGAGATTCAAATGTATATCTTCTGCCTTTGGGATGTCATTTAAATATGGATTGTCCCACCAGATGACTGAAGAAAAGCAGGTGAAGAAGCCTTGGTTGATGGGCTCCCGAGCAACACTTTCCCAGGAGCAGTCAAGAGTGCTGAATGCTGTGTTGAGTGGAAAGAATGTCTTCTTCACAGGGAGTGCTGGTAAATGAAAAGGGGTGGGAAGGGGGCATGATTAGGCATTTCAAATTAGGAATCCCAGATGTTTTCTATGACTATGTTGGGGATTCAAACTAAAGAACTCTCACTGCTATTATTCATAAGAGATTTAACTAATGGTTTGGGATTTCTTTTAAGTAAGCATGAATAGATTACTTTCATTTTTTTTGGTGGAGTTCTTCGAGATAAACTGCTCTTTTTAATTGTCAAACCGATAACTCACAAGGTCACTTTGGTCAGTAAAAAGTCCAAAGGGTAAGAATAAATGATGTTAAGGTCATGATGCAAATAAAAAATACAGATCCCAATAGAAGTGAATAAATGTAGCTCAGGGTTGAACAATGGTGTCCTTGAAATCTCTGAGCTTCGTTGTCTGCTCACAGCCGTTTCAAGGTTGACTCAGCCTTCTATCCTTTTGAGGTCGGTAAAACGAGGACCCAGATTGTTGGGGGCAGTATGCTGACTCTGTAAAGAGCTTAGAGAGGGCTGTAAAGCACTGTAAAGTGGTATATAAGTCTAAGTGCTATTGCTATTACCTGCTATTTGGTGTAGAGTTTGCTCCCTGTTTATATACAATAGTTTGCTCTGCCAGTGTTGGTGGGGTTGTCATTTTCTCCTTCGTAGTTCCTTGATTAGGATATTGTAAAATCCTAATTCCAAGGATTATTGGGTATTGTAAAATCCTAAATCGAAGCATTAGTGTATTGTAAACCAATATCCTAATTAAGGAACTACCAAGAGGGAAAAAAACCCAAGACTGGTAAGGCAAGCTACCATATATAAACAGGGAGCAAGCCCCACTCTCACTAGCACTGTTGATGTTACCTAATCAGGTAATGAAATGTCTGCAGGCAAATAACAAAGCTCAGAGATCATCAAGGATTCCATCATTTAACTCCGAGCTACATTTATTCACTTCCTATTGGAATCTTCATTTTTTATTTGCAGCATGACCTTATCACTGTTTGCTCTTACCCTTTGGGCTTTTTACTGACCAAAGTGACCTTGTGATTTATGAGTTTGACAATTAAAAAAGGGCAGTTTATGGAAAGAAGGAAGCTATGATGTAACCTTAGAGAGAGGATAAAATGTAAATGCATTTATAATTGCTGCAAAGAAGATCATAAGACGCTTCCTTATAATCTTTCCGCTTCTTTTTTCCTTTTTCTATTTTTTCCTTTTCCTTTTTTTCTTTTTTACTATGCACTATTTCTCCTTAGGTACTCTATTTCTTTTTCAATGGTTTTTACTTTGTTAAAATTTCTTTAATACGCACATGCACACTCACACTCACTCACACACACACACACACACACACACAGTCCCTGGTTCAGTGGAATTGCTCTGCTTTAAACTGGCTCAGTGTTGCATCCTAAGTACCACTACTTAAGCACAGGAAACCTGATACTTGCCATTTAAATACTCCCTAAATAATTTAAAAAATTGTAGAGAGGAAAATATGAGCAACTTTGAACGAATTTTTTTTTATATTTTTTTTATTTTTTTTTTTAATTTGTTTTATATGCCGCCCTTCTCCGAAGACTCAGGGCGGCTTACAATGTGCTCAGCAATAGCCTTCATCCTTTTGTATATTTTATACAAAGTCAGCTTATTGCCCCCACAAACTGGGTCCTCATTTCACCTACCTTAGAAAGGATGGAAGGCTGAGTCAACCTTGAGCCTTGGCGAGATTCGAACCCTGCAGTAATTGCAGGCAGCTGGTCTTAAGCAGCTTAATAACAGGGTGCCTTAAACCCTAGTACTACCAAGGCTGAATTGAGCTGAATGGCGTTTCTCTAAAATTAACTTTTGTTTTCAAAGGAACTGGAAAATCTTATTTACTGAAAAAGATTGTGGCCTCCTTTCCTCCAAATGGCACTTATGTCACAGCCAGCACAGGAGTGGCAGCATGTCAGATTGGGGGCATCACCCTCCATGCTTTTGCAGGTAACGAGTTCAGATCCTGAGAAGGAGAGAAGTTGGAAAGAATTTGGGCCTGGTATGCCGCTGTCATGCCCTCTTAATTTCCCTTTTGTAGGTATTGGATCAGGAAAGGCCTCTCTGCATCAGTGTCTTGAGCTGGCCCAGAGACCTGGGGTTCGGCAGCAATGGCTGAATTGCCGCTGTCTGATCATCGATGAGATCTCAATGGTGGAGGGGGAATTCTTTGATAAACTGGAAGCGGTGGCTAGGTATGTAGAACCTTCTTTTCTGGATGGTATTTCTATACTTGCATTGCTCCTAAGTAAATGGATCTAGAATGCCACAGGAAGTGTTGCAGACTGCTAAGGAGCAGTCACCTTATGGATATTAGATTAGTTTCTTCCTGGAAGACATTTAGAAGTTTGTTGAAAACAGAGTATTTCCAGAGAAGGTTTGCGATGCTTAACCACTATGCCACCTTTTTTTATTTTCTATTTTTGTTACTTTTATTATTAATCTCTACCTTGGTTATTAATTTTATGCTTTATTTACATCACTTTAATCATATTGTACCATAGATACATAGATTTTGTTTTACTTATATAAAGTGCTGAGAGTCATGAGATTTCAGCAAGATTCAACCAAACAGTCATAAAATGACCACTTCTCTGCCACAATAATATAGTGTGAGTAACTAAAAGATTGGACATCTTGTTAACTCATGAACTGGCTTAGATTCTAGCTGTGACTCTCAATCTTAATTTCACTAACTCTTGAGTATACTATGAAGCGTGTATTATATTCTCCATTTTTTTTACTACTTCCCCATGCACCCTCTCAAAAGTGTCTGAAATCCCTGGAACATTTTTCAGATTTTGGCAGGGAGTGTGCCAATTCCCTTAGAAGAATTGTGGATTTTTGCAATGGACTGAGAGCCTGGAAGGGATCAAGACAGTGGTGGGTTCCTCCCGGTTCGGTCCGGTTGGGCAGAGCCGGTAGCGGTGACGATATGACGTCACCGAACCGGTTCTCCCCCCCCGCCACCCCCCCCACGTTATTCTTATCTTTTATTTGGTTCCACCCCCAATCTATTGCTGCCTCCTGAGTCCCAGCTGATGACTAGAGGGAAAAAAACTGTTTAAACTCTTGCCGCGGGGCTTCAAAGGGCCATCCTACAGCAGATCAGTGTTAAAAGCAAACAAATGAGTCGGGTCGTAAGTGTGAGGACTGGTCGTAAGTGCGAGGACCTTCCAGAAATGACTCTGACCAGCTAGTCACGCCCACCTAGTCACATGACCTCTAAGCCACACCCACAAAATAAGCCACGCCCACAGAACCGGTAGTAAAATAATTTAGAACCCACCCCTGGATCAGGATTGTAGCCAGTATTGTCACTGTGCTTCTAGAGAGAAGGGGTGGGGAAGGGAGGAGGGGAGGAAGGAAGGAAGGAAGGAAATAAGAGGAAAGGAAAGAAAGCCAGCTATTGAAAATGGGAGTATGACTTACTTTTAAGACATCCTTTCATAATTTGTTGTTTTTCCAGCTTGACTGGGAATCCTGGGATTGCAGAAGCATTAAAACAGATTATTGTTGGATACTGCACTCAATTTTCTTGGCCCAGAGCATTAAAAAAAACATTTTTGAATCTTTTTCTGTTTGCTTTCTGGCTAGAGATGTCAGGAAATGTGAGGATCCATTTGGAGGAATCCAGCTTATTATCTGTGGAGACTTCTTACAATTGCCGCCCGTTACCAAGGACCACAAACAGCCCAAGTTCTGTTTCCAGGTTTGTTATAGTTGCTGCTGCTGCTTCTAACACTGTGGTCAGTCACAAGCTGACCGGGAGTGTTCTTTAATAGGCAAAGAGCTGGAGAAAGTGCATCCATCTGAACATGGAGTTGACAGAGGTTCGGAGACAGACTGACAAGGAGTTCATTTCTCTTTTGAACGCTGTCCGTCTTGGCAGGTGAGATATCATCTTCTTGTTCATTAGAACCATCAGGTGGGAAAGGATGGGGATCTGTCCTCTTGGGATGAGATAACTGAAACTTAGAGAAACTTCTTTTTCCCATCTCTCCCTAATTTTATTTCTGAATGTTGACACTTGTTACATCTGCCAAGTTTGAATGCTGATTAAAATGTCATTTTCTTTTAATTGTTCACAAAACTTCAAATGTAACATTCTTTGAATGCTGGGATCCTAAGAGAAATGTTGGTTGATATTTGCCACCAATGAAATAATTTGTAACAATTGTTATGCCAACCTTCCTGATTTATTGGTTCAGCTATTCCTATCACTAGCCAGGCTGGTTGGAGTTGATGGAATTGTACTGTAACATGCATGGAGTTAAGACAGGCATGTCAAATTGGCGGTCCATGGCCTGGATGCGTCACATGCAGGCAATGCCCACCCCAGCTCCGCAAATGGGAAAAACACCATGAAACGTCACGTGATGGCAACATGACACGGCATGTTTGACACCCATGAGTTAAGTGAAATAGGAAGTTAGAGTGGAGGAATGCTCTTCTTTCCTCAATAGGCAGAGAAACATACAGTACAATTTGTCAAATAGATAAATATTTAGTGTTTTCTAGAATTGCTGTGATGCCAGGATTTCTATACATCCATGGATCTCCATTACAGGTCTTAGCTCTTGTAATTTTAAATACCTCTACTGCAATCTGACAGATGTACAGAGGAAGTCACCAGACTGCTGACTCAAACAGTAATGCAAAAAGTGGAGAGAAATGGAATATTGGCTACACGGTTGTGTACTCACAAGGATGATGTAGAGTTCACAAATACTATGCAGCTGCAGCAATTAGCTGGTAAGAATCATGCAGCAACTCCTAATGAGGTACAGTAAGTAGCTTTTTCTTTGCCTTTGAGAAAGAAGATGACTTCCAATACGAGTTGTAAAAACTTAGAACCAATAATAGGACTTATTTCATGTCATTTTTGTTTTGAATGAAATGGCAAAATGTGATATACTGTCCTACCAATTGTAGAGATTATGAGTTTGTTGCATTTTGGGAATCCTGTGAACTCTTGATGTTCAAAATATTTATGATTGTAGAAGGATAAACTGAGAGGCTTGCGGTCAGTTGCTGGAACATTATTTAGGAAGCTGCCGGTATTAAATTCAAACTAAATTTAGCCAGAAGTCCCCCACTCATTGCACCAATTGGATAAATTTGGAAATTTGAGAACATATTTTGGGGCAGCTTCATAAACTAGATGCAATATTGAGTTGTCTACTCATATAATTTTTTTATATGAGTCACAGAACCTCCATTTCTCAGAAATTAACCAGGTAAGTATGTTGCTTGTGAAATCTTTACTTTTCTGTTATTCCCCTATCCTCCCTCCCTCCCTGCTACTACTTTTATAGCAATTGCACTTATTTACAAATCCATGCCCAGTAGCCCCTTACCATATTATTTCTTCAAATACTTGAAAGGTCTTTTTTTCTAGAGGCTGGAACTTTAGTTTAAAGCATGCCAGTTTCCATTCCTATTTATTAATTTGAAAAAAATGTTAACAAGCTTAGTGTTGCAGGACGTCTGAGAGGATATAAGTTTGCAACACTGCAATCAGAACTCTAGTGAATAAAATGTTATTTCTTTTCCAGGACAGCTAAGGTCTTTCAAGGCTGTTGACAGTGATCCTATGTTGGCAAAGACTCTTGATGCACAATGTCCTGTGAAGAGCATGATTGAACTCAAGGAAGGTGCCCAGGTGAACAAACAAAACAGCACTGCTTGGGACAGAGGTGTTGTGGCTGCTTCTGAGAGCCTTCTCTTTCTTCACAACACATCAGATCTTGCCAAATGCTAGAGTCTACTTGATTTTAACGCCTATATCCTAATCTCGAAGCACTTCTCTGGATGATTCCCCTACCCACAAATGGGTGGAGGATGGTTTTGTCAGCATGCAGTGGAAGTAAATCTACTTTAGAAAGTGCTATGGAAAAACCCACAAGAGCATTTCTGTGACTTTCCTTTTTTAATAGGTGATGCTTACAAAGAATCTTGATGTTTCTCAAGGTCTGGTGAATGGGGCTCGTGGAGTTGTGATTGGATTTGAAACTGAAGGAAAAGGTTGGTTTCTGACAGACAAACCTTGGATGATCTCCTCATGGGTAGTCATGTGGTTTGGTTTCTTTTTGCAATGAAGAAAATACATTCAACTGTTAAGATTGTAATGCAACACTGGCATTAATATTAATAAAAAATAGCAAGGAAAGCTATCAAAAAAGTTTTGTCATATACAGAAAAACTCCCACTCTTCTTCCATTGTCAAACTTGTTTGAAAGTGCTGTCTCTTTCCCTTTGTCCCAAACAATCTAGTTCAGTTCTAACAAACTCCATTGCTACAGATCAAGTCTAGATTTCACTTTCTAATGTAATTTTGTGCATTGTTCCTTTAGAAAAGTTTTACTATAGTCTTAGATTCCTCTGCTCTGTGCCACAACTTCTTTGCAGAAGCAGTTCTATTTTTGCTTCATAGAGAGTTGACAATCATTCTATATAAAATGAGAAAATGTAGGAAAATACTGTTATGTATGGTAGTTTGGCATATTACCTATATAGGTAACTCTCAACTTACAACTGTTTACATAGCAATCATTTGATGCTTACAATCTGGTTTCAAAGGTCTAATGGCTGCCCCTGCCCCACCCCGCTTCGTGTCACATGATCACAGTTAAGGCACTTGGCAACTAGATTTATTTATGGCCATTTGCAGTGTCCCCCCCATGACTGCAATTTTTGGCATTTTTTTTAAAACTGGAAATTGTCATTTACTTCTATTTTCTGGCAAAAAGCAATGGTTCCATGTAATGACCATGAGAGTTCATTTAACTTATTTGCTTAACCACTGCAAAATAGGTAAAATCAGCCACGGTCATATGGTGTCCCTCCTAAAAACATCCAGAACCTATGACCATAATTTCAGGCTAAATTATGGTTGTAAATTGAGAACTACCTGTAACCAGCAGTATATTGCAGTACCGAATAATAACTGTAGACTTGTGTTTTTTGCTACAGGCCTGCCCAAAGTGAGATTTCTTTGTGGTGTGACTAATATTATTGGCTTGGAAAGATGGGTTTTTAAGGGGCCAGCAGGCACTTACCTGAGTCGCCAGCAGTTGCCCCTGAAGCTTGCCTGGGCCATTTCTATCCACAAGAGCCAGGTTTGTAATATATCTGATTTTTGTGGGAAATATACAGTAATAACGGTTTATCACTGGGCTTCTTTAAGTAACAGCAGAATTTTGATTTTTGTACTAGACTCTTTATCAATGTTAAAATCCTGGAATGTTATCAGCTAGTTTGTTCTTTTTTGCCCATACCTGATGGAAATCCAACTTGTTTTGTTCCTATCAATGATTTATAAAACTGAGCAGACTAAAGTTGCACACTAAATGCTATTAAGGCACAGCTTTATCCCTAAACTTTAAAGTAGATATTCTAATACTAAAGAAATCATATACAGGTAATCCTCATTTTATTAACTACTTGTCCAGTGACAACTTACAACAATGGTGAAAAAATAACTTTACAGCCCATTTATGACCTCTGCAGCATTCCTCAGTCTTGTGAGCACCATTACGGTCCATAGGCGTGGTTCTTTCCCCAATCTGTGTTTTTTTTCCCCCACCACACAGATTAATTGAAGAGAAAGGGATTGGAAGAAAATAAGCTATTTGCTTTTCTAAAAACAATCCGATCATGTCAGGAGCCCAAGGCTGGGAACCTCAGCCATAGTACTCTCTAGAAATCTCTTTCCAATCTCTCTGCTTTGCATAGGGAGGGGATGAAAAAGGCAAGCAATTTCTGTAAGCAAGCTCTTCTTTGTCTGACCTTTTCCTACTGCCACTTTCTGTTGAAGTGTAGAAGAGCAACAACTTGTTCTCTTGAAATCTCTTTTTCTCCAATCTCTCTACTCTGCTGCAGGGAGGATAAATAAAGGTAGTATTTCTGTAGGCAATGTTTCCTTTATCTGACGCACATGCACACACACACATGTGTGCGCGCGCGCACACACACACACACAGATAATACCATCAGTGAGAGTCAGTGTGGGTTTTCCTCCCTGTTTATATACAGTATAGGTAGTCCACAACTTACAAACAAAATTGGGACTGGAATTTTGGTCAGAAGTTGTCATTATAAATCAAGGTATTCACGAGATTGGACCTAAGTTTTTTTGCTGTTTTTACAGCAGTTGTTAAATCCAAATCACATAGTAATTGGAGTCCTAGTGGACAATCATTTAAATATGAGCCAGCAGTGTGCTGCAGCTGCCAAAAAAGCCAACACAGTTTTAGGCTGCATAAACAGAGGGATAGAATCAAGATCACGTGAAGTGTTAATACCACTTTATAATGCTTTGGTAAAGCCACCTTTGGAATACCGCATCCAGTTTTGGTTGCCACGATGTAAAAAAGATGTTGAGACTATAGAAAGAGTGCAGAGAAGAGCAACAAAGATGATTAGGGGACTGGAGACTAAAACATAAAGAACGGTTGCTGGAATTGGGTATGTCTAATTTGATGAAAAGAGGGACTGGGGTGACATGATAGCAGTGTTTTAAAATCTCAGGGGCTGCCACAAAGAAGAGGGAGTCAAGCTATTCTCCAAAGCACCTGAGGGTAGGACAAGAAGCAATGGGTGAAAACTAATCAAGGAGAGAAGCAACTTAGAACTAAGGAGAAATTTCCTGACAGTTAGAACAATTAATCAGTGGAACAATTTGCCTCCAGAAGTTGTGAATGCTCCAACACTGGAAGTTTTTTAAGAAGAGATTTGGATAACCATTTGTCTGAAGTGGTATAGGGTTTCCTGCCTAAGCAGGGAGTTGGACTAGAAGACCTGCAAGGTATCTTCTAACTCTGTTATTCTAAATTCTAATTAATTGAAATACATAATGTTTAAGCAAAACCATTATCCCAAATGTATGGTGTTGGCTGGAAAGTGGCAAAAAAAAAAGCCATTGGAAAGTGGGGGGATAATAAATCATGGTTACGGGACTGTAGGATGCTGAACCTGGTCATAAATGAGAGCCAGTTGCCAAGCACCTAACATGCAACCACATGGTGATATCACTGCAAAAATTATCTTTATAGACTATTATATCTTCAAACAATCATTCAATGAATGATCATAAGTCAAGGACTACCTGTAGCTTCCCCTGCCAATTTTGGTGGGAAACAAAAAAAACTCCAAAACACATCATTTCCAATAGCCACCATCCAGATAATCAGGGATTAGCACTAAAAAAAGTAATCACACACTATACAATGCCCTAATTAAGGAACTGCCAAAGAGAAAACCAAACCTCCACCAATACTGGCAAGGCAAGCTACTATATATAAACAGAGAGCAAACCCCCACACACATCAGCACTAATGTTACCTGGTTAGGTATTGAAACATCCGTGAGAAACAACAAACTCAGAGAGCACCAGGTTATCTGGGTGTTTGCAGCCCTAATCTGGTAATCCCATTATACCATTTAAAGTCCTATCCCCTAATTCTGGGGTCAGCAGAAAAGTACACTGGCCTAAAATTTGCTGCCCAATTTCTAAGGATATATTCTGCTACACAGTAATTAAATTGATGATTGATGCCCTCCTTTTTTGTTTTTATCTGGGACAAAGCAAGGAAAGAAATTGGTGGATTCCCTTGGTTTTTCTTTCCTTGACTTCCCTTCCTATCAAACATTGCTCACCAGCTGGAAAATAACTAACAGCTTTTGCTAATGTGGGTTAGGACAGGGTTAGGTGAGTGTAGGCAGGTACTCAGAATGGCATAATTAGCCTTCTATCAAACTGTCCAATTAAAAGAATACTAAATATATATCCCAAAATAGCCCAGATGACAGGTCACAATCATGGAGGAGGACAGTAAGCTAAAGGGAGAAAAAGCGACTGAGAACATGTAAACTTCATCCTCAGGTAATCTTGCAAGGAATGGCAATGCCTGCAGGATTAATCCAATTCCATCCTCCTGGCCATCAGCATCTGAAAGTAGCCTATGAATGCCCATGAAGCAGAAAAGAATAGACAAAATAGTGCTATCAGCATAACTGTACAAAAATAGGTTGGTCAGAGCAGCAGAAAATCTGTAATGTGTTGGAAGTTAACAGAACAAGCAAAGATGTAGCTTGCAGAACCCAGATAAACGTCTGGGCAGCAAGACCTGCTATTTTTAATGCTGAGTGCTACTCATGTTAATAAGAAGCTTGCATAAAACCTGGTAAGCGCTTTAGAACAGGGGTCTCCAACCTTGGCAAGACTTGTGGACTTCAGCTCCCAGAATTCCTCAACCAGCTTTGCTGAACTCTAGGAGTTGATGTCCACAAGTTGCCAAGGTTGGAGACCCCTGCTTTAGAAAGCACCAATCAGTACCAGTAAATTGCACCAGTAAATTTATCTGTAGAAGCCAGGCGTCTCGTATCTTCTGCTGCTCAAGCAAAAAAGGTCATGCAAGGCAGTTCTTCATTGGAGGAGAGTTGGTGGCAGCAGCCTAAAGTAGCAATAGAAGCTGAGCAGATCCAGCTTCTGATCATGTCAGCAATTACTCTGTAGAAGCAGTATGTTATGACAGTGTCCATAGCAAAACTTGTGCAGGGAGAATTACTTTAAAACTGGAACTAAATAGTTTAAGCTTCGTTAAGAAGTAGAATAAGTGAAGCTGGAAATAAGATCTTGAGAATACAGACATTAAAAAAATACGACAGTTACTATATTTGTGCTGCAGTCAGAATACAGCAAGCTCATAGTGTAATTCCAGTTACTGAATGTTTTTCCATTATTATTCCAAAGATTAAACCTGGGATGTACATCCTAGCAGATGACTTATGTACATATTTCAATATACATTTTAACTGTTGGTGTTGCTAGTTCAGTCTTGTCTACTAATAACTTTCAATCTTCACTTATTTCTTTTTTTAGGGTATGTCTTTAGACTGTGCAGAGGTTTCTCTAGCTCGCGTCTTTGAAAGTGGGCAGGCGTATGTAGCACTTTCTCGAGCTCGTAGTCTGGCAAGTCTCCGAGTTTTGGATTTTGAAGCCAAGGTAGTCAGAGCTAATCCATGTGTACTGCAATTTTACAAGCAGCTAAAGAGAGACCAATTTTTAAATCAGGTAATTTGTCATTAGGCTATTCCAGATTTAGAGTCAATTTGGAGACAATATATTCCTATATAGAGTGCATATTTGGGGGTGGGTGGGTAAAAATTAGAGGAGACTAGAGCAAGGCCCTTAACTGATTAGTGACATTACTGAAGTTTCTGTGTAGAACAGTCCAAAATATTTTTGGTTGTAGTTCTGAGTTTTTGCAAAAGGTATTTTCCATTTGCCCTCATCATCTTTAATAAATTGCGGGCCACAACTTTATTACTTAAAAAAAAAGTTTTAACAGATCAAAGTAGATCTCAGTATAAGGGGCTGAACAGTTTAAGGTGTTTAACAACTTGAGTCTGACTTTGTTTGCTTTTTACTCTTTAGGTCTCTTTGCATTCCTATATTTACCCTGATAAAGAAAATGTAAAAGTTAAAGGAACATTTACTGGTTGAGAATCCTTGGTACCATTTTATTAATTAATTTTGGAACAGTTTTGGAACAACTGCTTCTACAAATTCAGTATTTCTATAAAGTATTGGAGCATTGTGAAGAAGAGAACAATTATGAGACATCGTTTTCTATAAACACGGACAGTCCATCCACTGAAGTTTTAACCCAAATCATTCTGCTTCTGAGTTTGCACTCATCAGATCTTAAAAATTACTTGAAGCCACCTTTACGGAATAGTCAAATTTTGCTAGGATATTTACTTCAAATAGCACTTACACTGTGTGTATTGTGAGTATTTGATATTACTGAATAAAACTTAACTTTAAGGACTCATATTACTTCCTTAATAAACCAAATGAGATTTTACTTAATGATCGTTATAAATATATGATTGATAATTCTATACCCTAGACCATTTTGCTTCTCTTAAATGTACCAATTTTGAGAAAGGTCTTCGATTTTTTTAATTGAATTGAACAGAGACACTTTCGTTTTCTTTGTACTATACAGTATTGTATGCAGTATAGCTTCTCAAGTTTAAAAGAAAGCCAACCAGATAAGAGTAATCTGCATCACATCCTAGTGTCTACAAAGATATTTTCTGTATACATTGCAATTTCAAGAATAGAATTTGTTCCCTTAGCAGAATTTGAAACAAAATCATTCAATTTAAAATCTGAACACCTTTTGAAGCAAAAATAATTTTGCTACTTAAATAACATTGCATATACTTGTTAAAATTCACTCTCTCCTACATGTACAGCAAGCAATGCTAGGTGAGATTTTCTGTTAACTATTTAAGAAAATAATTTAATGCTATGGTCTAGCGGTTAAGGCACCAGGCTAGAAAATGGGAGATTGTGAATTCTAGTCCTACCTGAGCCATGAAAGCCAGCTGGGTGACTTTCACTCCCAATCATTCTGTCTCAGCCCAACCCACCTTACAGGGTTGTTGTGAAGAAAATAGGAGGAAGGACTATTAGGTATGTTTGGTGCCTTGAGTTATTTGTAAAATAAGGCAGGATACAAGTAAATAAATAAAAACATTGCTTTTATATTGTATTGAAAGTATTACAGAGCTACCCTTACGTTAATTATTCCCTATCTATGATCTGCAGACCAATCAAGCTACTGCAGGTTGACCATACTGCAGACATCCGATTAAATGAGATTTTGAAGTGTTCACTCAATTTGGAATTATCTTATTTTTATGAAGTGATTGCATGAAATAAGAAACCAGAAATTTAACAGGAGCTTTGCCTCACCATCAGCTCACAGAAGTTGATTATTCAAAGTGATCTTGAATTAAAGGAACTTGGCCAATTATACCTAAAGGAGCATACAATCTTTTTCATAGCACTAAAAAAACATTTCAGCTCTATTATACTGCAGAAACACTTTAATAACACTGATTGCATTTGATACATCTGGAATAATCCATATCCTGACAACAAAGATGCATACTCGGAACATTAATTATGTAAGCAAAAACTTTCCAAGATGAGACTGATTTCCCAGGAATAACCAGTAAACTTCAGAATTTTTGGAGGAAAAATTCAAAACAGTCACATATCTTAATTTAAAAATACAAAGTAGACATTCATAAGTCCAGCGTTAAATACTGAACCAAATTAAGGGACCATGCTTGGCCAAAATATGACAGTTGTTTTTCCACTGTTACAAATACCAAGACACAACATTCATGACATGTAATAAAATAGAGTCTTTAATCCAAAATCTCTTTTTTTTGTGCTAGAATATCCAAAGGAAACCAAAATGAATTCAGTGGGCAAATACCCAGCGTCTTCCAATCCGTGGAAGATGTTGATGCTGTGCCACTTGTAGAAGCAGCAGTAGAACTAGTATCCTCTTGCTCTTGTGAAAAGCTATTTCCAGCTGATGGCACGTTATAAAATGTTTCAGGAAGATCTTGATTATTGTTTACAAGCGGGCTGATCTTTGCTTTCCTTGTACTTTTTTCATTCTTATAGTGAGCATTTAAATCAATATAGCATTTGTACATATGTCCCTTAAGTTTCTTATAATCCAGATGACTCAGTTCTTCTGGTAATGACAAAAGCAGATCTAGTAGAACAGCTGACTCTGCAGAAAGCAATAAAGGAAGCAAAACATAAGTAGTGACTGGGAGCTAATTCATGCTGTATTTTATTTTCTAATTGACATTTTCACAAGTTTTTTCTCCTATACTTCCCCCAAACAGTCTAGCAAAATAATTGTCATTCTTCACTCTTTCCTGCATCAACTTATTTGAATTTTAATTATCTCCAAGTCTTAGAGATTTATGGCAATTTCTAACATGTTTTTTTAATGAAAAGCTAAATGAAAACTGTGGTTCTCAGTTATAGAAATTCAGCTATAATTTCCCTACTATATATGTAGAAAATTGTCTTAGCTCACTTCTCATTATTTTCACATGGAGAAATTTGCATTTGAAAATTTTTCTACTCTCTAAAATTTCAACCATTGTTCCAAAAACATTGCTAATAAACAAGCACAGGTTTTATTTTGAGTTTATGAGGAATAATTGGAACTTTAAACAAGCCTTTCCTTCATTTGTCATCCTAAAAGTGCAAAAGTAGGTGGCCCACAGAGCTGGGCCTAGGATATTGGATGGGAAATTATTTTAAAACATTGCAGTAAGACTAAATGTTTCATAACTGCTCTTTTGTTTACTATAGTTTATAATGGATCATTTTTCTGTAGAATGTATTGTAGGTGGAGCCTTTATGGACTTTTTTTTGTATCTCTACAGCTGGGAAACTAGGGAACTGATTTATTTTGAATTTCTACTGATTCCTATACTGAAAATTTTGAACCTGTACAGTGAAATAACTAGTTGAGTTTGTAAATGTGTATATGTGTGTAATTCACACCAACAACACAACCAAATCTCAAATGCTTATTCAACTGCCATATTCTTGCTTCCTTCACTGAAAATATTGCTCGTTTTATAGGTTTCACACATCAATATTGCAATTAAATATATATATAGTATCTCTCACCAGAGTCACACTTGGGATAAATAAGCTTTTGGGGATCCTTGGTGTTCTCAGCTTGGTAGTTTTTCTGCAGATACTTCATTACCCAAATTAAGTGACATCACCAGTGCTAATATTTCCCTTGTCAATGTTAATGGATGTTGTCTTGGAGGTTCTACTACCCTAATTAAGAACTGCCAAACAAGAAATCAGTCCAACCAAATGCCACTGGGAACAGCAGAACCTCCAAGACCACTCCCATTAAAACTGACAGGGCAAGCACTAATGATGTTACCTAGTTTGGATAATGAAACGTCTAGATAAAAACTACTAAGCTCAGAGAGCACCAAGGATCCCTGATTTCAACTGCAAATATTCTCCTTTATTGGTAAATAAGCTTTCAAATGTATTGAAAACTTTGGAGACGTTCAATATGTTCTTTTCAGTTCTAGGGCTTTTTCATTCCCCGCAGCTTTTAAGAGTCTTCCCTTCAATAAGAACCTGGAGCAGTTTACAAAAATGAAATGTATTATAAAGAACACCATGATATTAAAAAGTAGATATAAGAGCAACTAAGATTTAAAGATAGAGTAAATAAAATAATTACTGACACAAAAAAAATAAATAGATATAACTCTAGATGCAGGAATAGTTCATCTTTTCATCTTGGTTTAAATCCTGACTTACCACCAGGTGGTAGCTCTGGTGCTTTAGATCCCCGTGAAATCACTGAAAGATACTTGTATATCTTTTCAAAGTCCACATGTAATTCACCATTTTCTGCAGGAGTCAACTGTTCTACATCTGATGATGTAGTTGCTTCCTCAGATTCTGTATTGGATTTAATATTCTTGCTAGGAACAGCTGGGGTCATGCATTGAGCAGCATTTACTTCTACAGGCTTTGGTGGCACAGAATGAAGCAAAGAGAGTGGCTCTGCAGATGCAATTGTTAAAACCTAATTAAGATAATCAGAAGAAAAAATATCCAATAACTCAAGTGCCAGAAAACAGAAATTCTGTGTAGAGTATATTTTCGATTACTGCATCTTTGCTTGGAAAGATGAAAATCAAAGGAATGTATAGCTGTAGTTAGCAATGGTAGACATGCTTGTTTCAAGAGAACATTTGCATAGCCAAAGTTAAAAATCTCTGAAATTATTATATTCATAGAACTATTTATCTTAATAAGATCGTGTCATGGAGGGGATATCACTGTTACCTGGGAAAAAGCAGCTGTTACTGCATCCTCAAGGCAACCTGTTAACTTCTTAGCTAAACGAATCCATACCTGGAATAGAGAGTATGACACAATAAATGAGTATCTTTTAGCCTACTTGTCTTATTTCTGAAACCATACTTTTAATAATTTCAGACCTCTATAGGTGCTGGAACTGGGGCATCCTTCTCTTTGCACTGGCGATATCGATACCGTGCCTTGACTGCTTCCCTTGCCACACGTTCTTTCAGCAAGTCTACAAATGCTAAGATCTGCAAAATATCACACATAAATGTTTAGAAGAAGGCACATTCTACTCTTAAAACAGCACTGAATAATGGTTATTTTCAGAAAAAACTGCAGTTTATTCCTGGTGCAAAAGAGAAACATTACAATCAAAGAATTATTTTGTTTTCTGTAACTTTCAGCTTTGTCAGTCATGGAATAGTTATATCCAGCCCACTTCATGAAAGCCCCCAACTGTTAGTTTTGCTGGTTGCACAATCTGAACTTTACATTTTCAAAAATGGAGAACTAGAGTCACCCATTAATGAAAATTGTTTAGCCACAAATACTAAATGTAAAGTGAATCCTAAGAGCTGTGATGGCATAGTGTTTAGAATGCAGTATTGCAGGCAAACTTTGCCCACTGCCAGGAGTTAGATCTTGACTGGCTCAAGGTTGACTCAGCCTTCCATCCTTCCGAGGTTGGTAAAATGAGAACCCAGATTGTTGGGGGCAATATGCTGACTCTGTAAACTGCTTAGAGAGGGCTGTAAAGCACTATGAAGTCATATATAAGTCTAAGTCCAGAGATTTTCAAACTGTTTTAGGCTATGTAACCTGCTAGTTAAACAAATTGAAACACCTTATTAAGTGACAAAACTTTAGTAATAGAAAGCTGGTTGTATTTGAGTACCTTTTTTTATCTCATGGAACCCATTTCATGGATATTTTGGACCTGAGAAATAACTAGTCCAAAGTCATCTCAGAATTGTAATTTTGAGGATTAAAATGTGGGGAGTCTCCATGTATGCTATTTGACCTCTTTGATAGACAGGCTGGATGGAAATATAATAAAAATACACACAAATAGGAAGTCAAACATTTTTCTATTAACATACTTCAGCTTTGATTTAAATTTGGCTTGATGATGAATTCTTAGACATGGGAAAACTTATTCATAGTGGTTCCATTTCTTTAGACATAAGAAAGTATTGCTGTTTGACATTTAGGTTTATTTTACAGTTCAAGAGGAAAACCCTTGTTTTACCGTCCAAAGGATACACTCAGCTGACCACACTGCAAGATAGACTCTTAGTGTATGTTCCACATTCTTTATGACAGAGACAAGGGTTTGTAATTAGTCCTTCTCTCTCCTTGTTTTCAAAAGCTTGGGCCTCTTTCATTCCATCTTTAAATGTCGGGTTTGCATCACTCTAAGGCACTCGCCTATCACTTTCAAACCCACTTCCCAATTAGAAATATATTAACTTCCCATCTTCAAGCTAGATTATTGGTATTATTAATCTCGTATCTGGGCAGCTGAAACTCAAAATGGGCCATGTTAAAATGAAAGATATGAATGTCCAGATTAAATAGTGACTAGGATAACCAAAAACCGTTCAACCCATAACAGTAATTATAGAACATAGTATAAAGCAAGTACAATAGGGCAAAGACATAGATGTATAGCATGACCTGTTGATTTTTTTCGGCTGTACTGTTAGAAATAGATATTATGTTTTATATGTATATCCTGTGTACTTTGAGTGACCTTAAAAGTGGCTCAGTGGCTAAGGCGGTGAGCTTGTCAATCGAAAGGTTGGCAGTTCAGTGGTTCGAATCCCTAGTGCCCTGTTACTTGTCCCTGCTTCTGCCAACCTAGCAGTTCGTAAGCACATAAAAAATTTAAGTAGAAAAATAGGGACCATCTTTGGTGGGAAGGTAACAGCGTTATGTGCGCATTTGGCATTTAGTCATGCTGGCCACATGGAGACGTCTTCGGACAGTGCTGGCTCTTGGGCTTTGAAACAGAGATGAGCACTGCCCCCCTAGAGTCGGGAACGACTAGCACGTATGTGCGAGGGGAACCTTTACCTTTACATCAGTGGTTCTCAACCTTCCTAATGCCGCGACCCTTTAATGCAGTTCCTCATGTTGTGGTGACCCCCAACCATAAAATTATTCCTAAAACCATTGAAAATGTGTGTCTTAGGCAACCCCTGTGAAAGGGTCATTCGACCCCCAAAGGGGTCGCGACCCACAGGTTGAGAACCACTGCTTTACATCTATATCCTGTGTACTTCGAGTGATCTTATCACAGTCTAAACAGGGTAGCAGTTTCTCTGTCCCCACAAATTCTTCCTGTCTTTCGTTTGAGGAGGATCCCATCGAGGCCTTTTAAGTTATCCCAACCCACAGACGGCGCCTCTAAACCCACCTCATCTTCATTTCTGGAAGGCAAGTATTTCTTCAGCTGCTCCGGCCGAAGCGGGCCCGGAGTCTGGGCTTGAGCTCTCAAAGCCTGGAGAAGACGCCGCTTTTCTCGATCCGTCCAAACCCGGATTGCGGGGTCCAGGCGGAAGCGAGCGGGCGCCGATCGTAGCCTCGACGGGGGCTTCATAGCTCCCCACCCAGAAAAGCCCAGGCACCAAATTAAGAAAACACCAGGGGGAAAAAAAGCGTCTTCGCGTCCCCGCGCAGTAAATTTCGCCGCCCCCTTCCTTACTCCTCCCGCCCACAAAGCTTCGCAGCCCGCGCGGCTCAAGACCGCATTCCGTACACAAATTAACAACGCTTCTCCAAGGTACGATTTCCAAGACTCGCGTTCTGATGACGTAGGCAGAGTTACGCAATCACCGGCGACCAGAAGGAGGAGAGGGGGTTGGTGACGTAGCCGACGCTTCCAAAGGAGGGGGGCCGCGGAGTCACAGAAGGCTTCGAGGGGTAACTAAGGGGGATGCGTAGAATGCCTTTCCTCCCGCTCGTTACCATGGTGATAGAGTGGGAACGCCCTCCGGCGCGGAGCAAATTATCCTCGAGTCTGGCTACATGTCCATGTCAGGTCGAGGGGTTGGAGTTGCTTTGGGTGTCATAATCGTCTTTCTTTGGGAGAGACCTGGTATGGGGATGGATTGCAGTGAGGTGGCTGGTTCTAGAAGGGTGGGAGCTTCACCACTGGAAGCTTTCAAGAAGAGACTGGGCTGCCATCTGTCAGAAATAGTGCAGGGTCTCCTGTTTAGGTGGGGTGGGGTGGGTGGGGTTGGACTAGATGACCTATAAGGTCCGTTCCAACACTGTTATTCTGGTTCCCATCGCTTGGAAGCTGGGATTCCGGGGGATGTATAAGAATAAGACAAATCTATCATAATTATAAATTTATTTGTCAAGCATATATAAGATAACAGGTATAAGTATAAACATAATTTGAATACATGGAAAGAGTAAGTAAAAAGGAATATTAGTACAGGATTGGTAGGCACGCTGGTGCACTTATGCACTCCTTTGATAGATGCAACTATATAGGACTATTGTGTTGTAAAGATGTTGTAGGCAAAAGATTAAAGGTGCAGCTTTCCCCATGATGGCGCCTTCATACTGATGAGCAATATTTATCAGTAATTTAGTTCTGTTTGTTGGAACATTCAAAAAACGATTTGACTTGGCCATTAGCAGATGAAATAGACCAACACTCATCTTGGCTCCCAGGCAAAATGGCTGGCTGTGTTATTTCATGAAAAAATTAAGTTTGGGTGAAATCCTAAATCACAAGATGTGCACGATTCATTTTATTTAGAAGCTTAAAACACGTCAAGTGAAGGCAAGGGCAAATAAATAATAAAAAATAATAAATGGAAGGAAAGAGGTGGGAGGTGAGAAGAGTAAACAGGAGGTACAGCTAATAGGAGAATGCTAATTGTTTATTAAAATAAATATTCACTCATGGGTCATATTTTGAGCAAGCGCTCTAAGACATAACATAAAGACTTTCTATAAGGCCAATGTATTTGTAGTCCATTCAGTAAACATTTAGAAATTTGAGAGCTACCCAGTTATACAAATACCCATCTCTACATTTTCAATTTTAAGAGCATGGGAGTTCATACTACTTGAAAAATAATGATTATAGTTGGTTTACCATCCCTTCTGTCTTAAAAGACACTTTAATTGTGTACAAAAATATCGCCCAAACTAAATATTATTTGTTGAGTTACTTTAGGTTCCCTATGCCCTTATAGTGAAAATTATAAGCACAAGCTTCTTAAGAAAATTCTTATAAAGTGATCTTTGAATGTTAATAACTTGGGATGTATAGATTCATAATACAAAGAAATCTCACTTTACATACTCCCATTTACATTGGGGGGGGGATAAAAGATTGGTTATATGAGATCACAGTTATACTTGACAACACCTGAGAACTCAGTAACTATATTTCAGATCTGTTCATTACTCTCAGTTTTCTTAATACTCACATTGCTACTTATAGTATGTATTGCTATTAGTTTCAGTGAACCACTTTTCAGTCACTGATGTAACTTTGCCAAACAATGGATTGAAGGTAATGGCAGGAAGGCAGTGGTAGAAGCAGTACAGTAAATGCACTTATTGTAATTTGGCTATTTGATCTTCACTGATTATGAGGAAACTGGTGAGTTCAACTAGCTGTGAATCCTGATTTGAGACTCACTGTATTAGAACAAGCCAACTGTAATGAATAAACTATATTGGTTGTTATTAAACAGAGAGTGAGAAATCCTTATAAAATCAGGTTGTGATCCAAAGATCTGATATTATATTCTGGTTTACTTTTACCTTACTCTTTGTTGGTAGGTGTGAGCTAGCTTTCTGGAGTTGCAGTGCACCTTTATACTGGAAAAGGCAGTTTTGTAAACATTGAAAGAAAAGTACTTTGAATGTAAAATAATTTCCAGTCATAGCAACTTGCTGAGGTTTTACCTTGTTTTTCAGGCTGTGCATTCTTCCTTGATTTGTACAAGTCTGATAATGAGACTTTTTCAGGGCAAGCACCTATTGAAGAGAAAGAGACAGGTAAAAAAATTAATAAAGTTGAATTACACTTTTCCAGGAAGACTTTGAAATTTCTAACAATAGATGGGGGTATTTAACTTTTCCACATGCGTAACCCCTGGATATTAAAGTCTTAAAATCTCTAGTCATGGCATCATGTCTGTCCAACTGATCTAGTCATAAATATAGGTATTATTTAGAACTATACATTAATACAGCTGAAGAACCTTGTCATCCTACTCTCTTAGGACTCTACCTCACTTTCATTTCTTTCAGAACTCATTTTTGTCCACATTGGTGCCAAGGAATTCACTGTACCATGCAAGCCTGAGAAAACAGATGTTGTGATTGGTATGAATCCTACGTACAACTGGAACCTGGAAAATGGAGGTTCGGCTTTGTTGCTCAGGGCTTAAGATTTCTTTATAGAGAACAGACATATATATATATATATATGATGCAGGAAATAGCATTTTTTTCTTGTGGAAAGATACATGAATATATTCTGGCTTTCAATGTTTCTTTAGATTACTCTGCCTAAGATTTTTGGAGAGCTGAATTCAAATACTTTATAAATATTTTATAAAAGGAATAAATTCCAAGTGTCTGTCAGACCTGCCCCAGTCTGATCTCCTAGGGAAGTAAAACACTTGACTACATTTGCTTGAAGTGAAAAAACACTTTTACTAAGAGATGCTGATTGCAGTAGAATCAAGCAGGATCTAAAGTTCCTGTGCACCAATACAGGACTAACCCCTTGGTTCCCTTTAGACCTGCCTCCCACCCCCATGGCCCATCTATGTGTAGCCAATCTGGCATCATCGAGATGTTTTGGGAAATACAGAGGTTGTTTGGGCTGGTGAAATTCCACTCTTAGGGTAAACTGCCTTGAAGATGCCAGCGCACTATCACAAACTGGATTCCAAAACACTCTGTTCTTCCTCAACTGTCAATCTCTCCTTCCAGTTTCCCATCACTAAGGTATACAGCTTTATTGCCCATTTGTTCCCCGTCCCTTCTCTGATTGATGGCAGAATGCCGGCAAGGCACCAAGCCGAAGCTGGTGGATCTGACAGTGTCTTGCATGTAGCTAAACCTTAGAGCAGCAGTAGTTACCTTGGTGTCCTTCAGATGTTTTGGTCTGTAACTCTTAAGATATCCAATAGTTGGTCATGCTGGTTAGAACTTTTGGACTTCAGAGACTATCTGGAGGGTTCTTTTTTAAGACACTTAAAAGATTTGAACTTGCTAAGTTAAATTAGAACATAAACTTTCCTAACCTAGTTTAACAAGTTATTAAGAATTGACTATAAATACAAATTACAGGTGGCATCACACACCATTAAAATTATATTATTAAATTGGCCTTTAAATTTGTAGTTGGTTTCCAACATAATATTATTTCTGGATAATACTCAATTACTCAATCTGGACAAAAGGTTTTGAAGAGATGGAAATATTGCACAACAACCTTTAATTTTTTTAAAAAAAATTTGATTTATATGCCGCCCTTCTCCGGAGACTCAGGGCGGCTTACAATGCATTAATATTTTTTCTAGTTTTATTTTTTGTAAAATGTGTAATATAATTTATTGCCAATTTACTGTAGCAAAAGATATGAGTTCACTATCAGGTTTCTACAAGAAAACAAACAAGAATTCAAGGATAAATTCAAGGAAAAACTATTAATTTATGGAAGTAGTCATATTAATTGTAATTAGGTTTAATTTATATCTAAATGGATTATAGATTGCTATTGATTGAATCTGTGGACTGCCATTCTCAGGAAATTATTCTAACCCAAAAGAGGCCCTTAGCTCAAATAAATGTTACATGTTTTTTAAAAAAGGATAAATTCAGATAAGTAGATTTACTGTAATAGTTATGAAAGAATTCCTGCCTTTGCTGTGTATTAAATGAGAACCCTACTTATGGTGCATTCGAAGTTCAAATATTATTCTTGTAATATAATGCATTAAAGGCTATTTTCTTTGGACGGGAGTGATGGTTTCTGTCTGTCTACTATTCTGATAGTAGGTGGATCAGGTACTAGGCTGTTTGCTTGTATTGTATAACTTGGTCTCGCATATGCTTTTTTTTTTGTTGCATCAGTACATTTTAAAAGTGTAGAATATAACATCGGCTGAAAAAGTAAACCCAAGAAAGAATTAGTTAAAATTGCTAGTTTTACAATTGGTTTCAAATGTTTAGTTATACTAATAAAGTAATTCCCAACAGATAATCTTCATTTATATGCCTCCTTTTCTGAGCAGAAATATTGAATGTAGATGTTTAAAATGTTGTATCTCTCCAAAAGATTACAAATGTACAACTGCAAATATCTCTGAAATCATTTCTTATTGTATTGTATTTTATTCTTCATGATATTCCTTTCAATGTGTTGTTCATGTATTGCCTGTATAAATATATAACTTTTAAGTACTTGGAGGGTACATAGCTTACTTCTTCCTTAGGTAAAAAGGCGAATGTATAATGTTTCATTTGCTAATAGTTATGTGTGTCTGAATGTGCACACACAGAGAGATGGAGATTACAGTCTAAAGAAAGAAATTTAGCTCGACAAGCCAATTTCTGCCTCCTGGATCCAAATCTTAAGAAGTGCTGATGGTAGTGCTGTAATTACATTGATGGCTTACTAATGGGCTGCCCTCACAGATGCTACTGATTGCAGACCAACATTGGTCTAAAATAAGGAGGATTGAGACAGTGAGGCAAGTAGATTTAAGTAAGACCCCTATACCTGGGCTACAAAAACATTATACAAAAACTAGATGGCACTAAGAGATGCAAAAAATTCTAACTCTACTGTCA